CACCTGAGCGTGCTCGCGGGCAAAGAGATCGTGGAACGGTACTATGGTACCTCGGCGAACAAGTCGTACTATCTAGGGTGCTCCACAGGTATGACCCCATGCCTCTTCGGATCGTTGCATTGTCGCTCACAATTCGGGGTTGCTGTCGTGTTGCAGGGGGCCGCCAGGGGTACGTTGTGCAGCGCTCGGGATTACCGCGACTGTGCTCACGCCGCACGTTGGATTTAGGCTAAAGGAAGTGCAGGACTTCCCCGACGACTTCGATGGTGTCGTAAGTTCTGTACGTACCGACAGCGTCTGCGGGGACTCATTCTTCGGCGCTACAGGTCGTGGGGTCGCCGGCCAACTGGCAGACGCATCTGCAGGCATGGTCGATTCACATGAATCTCAACACACAGCCATCGACCTCGCCACATTTCATACCGCAAGACATGTGGAACGACGTGCTCGCACCGGAGGTCATGCGACAGTGCGATGCCTTGGATGGTGTAAGTCCACATCGATACCGGGCGCTCACCCGGTACGGCGTAGTGGGTCGTGTGCTGACCCGATGACAGCTCACAGACGGAATTATCAATGATCCTAGGATATGCAGGTGCGTCACGTCGTCCCGCCCGGGCGCAGTGCGCCTCGCTCACTGAGCTACGGTCTCACTCAGTTTCCGCCCCGAAACACTGACCTGCCGCCCGGGGCAGAACGCATCGACTTGTTTGACGGCCGACCAGATCAGCGCGCTGCACAGGATATACGCCGACTACTATGAGGCTGACCAAAGCTACGTCTTTGGCGGCTACTATCCCGGTGGCGAGACCGAATATTACAAGGGCTTGGTAGGGAAGAAGCAGTTCGACATTGGGAAGAATTACTTCGGATTCATGGTTTTGAAGTACGCTTGGGTTGTTCTGCTACATGTTGTTTGTGCGCTCATGGAGTGATTTGTTCAGTGACACCGATTTTAAGATTCACGACTATGATGCCCAAGTACTCGCTATGGCAGACAAGATAAACCCTGGCCAGGCTAACGTAGGGTCATCCGAAGACTTGCTTGTGGAAGAAGTGCTCATAAGCGTCTACTAGGCCATCAACCCTAACCTCACCGCATTTGCGGGACCGTCCCACAAAGGGAAACTCCTGCAGTACGTTGGCTGGGCAGACCAACTTATCAGCCCAGGAAATAGCATCCATTATTACGAGACCGTGCATCAATTCACGCTTGCAAACACGACTATGAACATCGAGGACTACTATCGACTCTTCCTCGTTCCCGGTATGAACCATTGGTAAGAGGTCAAGTTCCTCACGCGTTTTATCTTGTAACTAATGTCTTCTATCCTAGTCATGTACGTTTGAGCATTCCGCCATCTTTGACAGATAAATCGGAGACGTTCTAACTAACATGATGCGTTCCAGGGTGGCTTCGCCGCGAACGCGTTCGGTTCGGTCGAGCAGGCCTCCAACAACAATCCGCCGATCTCCTTTGATCCCGAGCACAACATCCTGGCTGCAATGGTCCGCTGGGTCGAAGAAGGTGTCGCCCCCGACACTATACTCGCCGCAAATTACAAAGATAACGATGTCGCGAACGGCGTTGGCTTTACCCGACCACTTTGCAGAGTACGTTCAACTTCTCCTAAATTCTAATCCTTGACGAGTTGACACATCGCGCCCGTTTGGCAGTACCCCTCGACCATACGTTACAGTGGGGGCGACCCTAACAGCGCCGACAGTTTCAAATGCGCATAGTTATACACTTCACGCCGGAGTTCGCAGAGTCATGTGAAGTCCGAGTATGAGTTGCTCTAGCGCCTCTGATTGCCGCCATGGATTTATTTACGCTATTGTTTTACGGCCCACGATATACACGAAAGTACAACAATGGTGGTCGTAGACATAACTCTGTACCAGCCCCTCATGATCTTGTCAACTTGTCAGTCGAGCAGCCCACAGATACCGAAGTGAGAGTAGCAATAAATGGCCAAGTGGGCCAGAAAACAGACATTTGATGCAACGCGGTTTGACGAAAGGGCACTATACTGTTCCGTCTCATAAGCTACCCCGACTTTGGATGACAAGATCATTGGGCACAGGTGTGGGGACGTAAAGGGGAATACTGTTATCCATTCATGACAAATCGTAGACGTTCTTCGTAATGGTCGTCAAGCGTACAGTACATGCTCGCGTTCAAACCGCGCTGTCATTTAGCCGCCGGCCTCTCGACGGCTCTCCGGGGACGGCGAGGTTGTTCTCATGAGGGGCAATGGGCTTTTCGTTGAACTGTGATGCTTGGCCGTTGCCATCGTTGAGGCTACGAGACCTGCCACGACTCGCGGAGGAGATCGAGCGGCGAACCGCAGACTTGACGTGGTGCACGGGGTCGGCGGGGGACTCGCGGAAGTCGCAGGTATCCTGGCCTGGGTTAAGCCGCCAGTACTTGATGCTGCGGGGCGGGGAGGTCAGAACAAAGCCGAATCCGGCTGCGCAAGATACCACGTACTGCTTCAGAAGAGCGTAAAATGCAGACCCTAGCAATGAGCCGAGAAACGGGCCGAGCCAGTACTGTACGTATATGAGCGATGTTCGTGCGTAAATGAGGGTGCGCGACGTACTACCCAATGTCCGTCATAGGGGAAGCCGGTGACGACTGCCGGACCGAATGAGCGTGCCGTGTTGTTTCCCGCCCCGGTGTAGAACACTGCCCATCTGCAACACGGATTGCGTTGGAAACGCGGGTTGCGCAAAGAACCACAAAGAAGCACGTACAGATGGCAGACGAAGAGGGTGAGACCGATCCCGATCTGCGCGTTGTTCAGCACAGACCTACTTCAATATCAGACGTCACGTACCGGTGCAAACGGCGTTGAACTGTGCTTCTCCGCTGCGAGCATGAGGACCGCGACGACCAGCGCGCCAGTGATGAACATCTCAATGAATACCCCTTGTGCGCGGTTGACTCCTGGCGCGAGGAAGGTGCTGGCAGAGGTTATTTCCGTCAAATTCGAACTTGGGAACGCGAATTAAGGGTACTTACTTTGAGGCTAAAGGTCCTGGGGTGAGCGCGAGGACGATAGCTGCCGCTGTGATACCTCCTAGGAGCTGGGCCACACAGTACATGACAAACCGCACCGGGCCGATGATGCCAGTAATGAGGAGCGCAAGGCTGACATTGGGGTTGAAGAGACCCCCGGTCACGCGGTAGAAGAGCCAGACGGAGGAGAGGAGACTGAACCCAAAGCACAGAGAAATGTACATATCGCGCTCAACGACCGAGGCTGCGTTCTGCGCCGCTTGGGTCCCACCATACGCAAGTAAGAGGAAGAAAGAAGTGCCGACATACTCGAGTATCGCGGCGTAGACGTCGTCCTTGATAGTAGCGAAGTATGAGGGCCGAGGCGCCTCGCCAAAGGTATAGTTGGGGTCGGGGACCGCAGGGTTGGCGGGATCTGTCTGGCGGAAAGACATCGTTCGCAGACGCAGGGGCGGGAGGTGGTGGGTATGGCGAACGTGCACGGCTGCCAGAGCGTATTCTTTTGTGGGCGGGAGCGGAGGCTGACGGGGCTGGGGCTCGCAGCCCCCGATCGCCATGGTACGTCACATGATCGGGGTCGAAGCAGGGCAGGGTATGGAGAGCCGTCAAAGAGAGGAGCCCCTCAACACATACCATTGGCGACTCTACCGGCCGGGGGAGGAGCATGGACGGATGGGCATCGACAAGCGCCACGCAGTCGTCCCTAATTGACCTACTCCACTATCGACGCTCCCGGGACGGATCGTCGTACCGGAACAAACCATTTTAATAATGGTCCCAGACCATCCGCCCTGTGTTATCCAAATATTTAAGTGAATTTCTCGTGGCGCGTGCCCACCACCCCTGATATGACGGGGAAAGCAGAATGTGCACCGGCTCAGTCCCAATCACGTCCTCCCGAGCGGCCTCGTTTGATTTGCGCGCGTTTGTCCTTGTCCAAACGTCGACGCGCCTTCTCCGACTTCTCCAACGCGCGCACCCGTGCTCTTTGCTCCTCGGTGGGTTCGTTCACGAGTCCTGCGGAAGCAGCGGACACGACCAAAGCGTGCAACTGTATTGATCGAAGACGTGAGCCATTACATCACATGCGGAGTCGCCGCCAGGGGCACTCGCCTTGGCAAGACAGTCTTGTACATTCTGGGCCTGTGAACGGTATACAGTCGAAGTGAGCAGTATGGATTGAGATGACGAAACGTATGAGGGCTGCCCGGAGTGAGTGTGTTGAGTGAAGACATCAGGACGTCTAGGACACATACCGTCTTCTTAATGTAGTCCCGCGCCCAGGGGGGTATCCACGGCGCATTAATTGGGCATCTTAGCGTGGCCTTCGTGTTAACTTTGTTGACGTTCTATATTGTGGGTCCATGAGGGCTCTTGGAACATCGAGGATGCGTTTCGAGATCCACACCTGTCCTCCCGGTCCCGAACTTCGCGAGAATGTTAGTTCTACTAAGCCTTTGGGTATCTCGTGCGTCTGAAACTTCTGGATCCAATTTCTCGCCTCTTCACTGTCAGCTCCATTTTGAATGGACGCGAGCGACGGAGGCGTAGGTAAGCCGCCCCGCTCTGAATGCATCTTTCTCGTTACTGAGAAAACCGGAAGGGACACACGAGCGATGGAAAGGTTATTCCCAATGCGAGTAATCTTCATGGCGAGAATCATATGTAGCCCTCGTAGCAAGTACCAAGGTGAAAAACAGCAGAGGGAGATGGTCGTGGTGGTGTTCAATAGACGCACTTCTAGCCTCATACCAATGCCAGAATCAGCCAGATCGCCAAACCGGAGCGCTTAAGTACTTAGAGCGAGAAGCTCGAAGGATGCCTGCGTCCTCAACCCCCTCGAAATGCATGGTACTGGGCTGACGCAGTCGACGGACTTCAAAAAATAAGTCTGGGCACATGCCGATAAAACCATCTTTTGTAGTATCTCTGTTCCCTACCCGTTGCGAAAAGCTGATAGATGAATTTTCAAAAATGAACCCTGCCCGGATTGAACGGACGACCTTATGGACACCCGAGAGTACCAAGTACTCAAGCTGGAATCATACGCGCTACCACTGCGCCAAGGGTTCGTTAACGCTGAACGCAGTGTAGATGTCAGAGCGTGCTGGGTGCTAGGCGTGACTATGACCATACTCGCGCCACCGACCAGAATTGCCGCCTCCGTTTGACCACGTCCGACCTCGTCTGCACCTACCGACACCTTTCCAATCTCGCAAGATGGTCTCTGTCAAGGTCTCCGCCGCCAAATCCACGTCGCTTGCTCGCGACTTGCCCACGTTTATTACCTTCGACAAATCTGCAGAAGAGCACACCGTCCGGGATCTCAAGAAAGCCATTACGGCGAAGAACCCCAAGGCTAGTTGCTTCACATTCTCCATTGCGCCCAAATCCCTGACAATTTACTTGCAGTTCCACCCCTCACGCCAGAAGCTCACCCTGAAGGGAGAGAAGAAGGCACTCGCCGACAATGTCACCCTGAAAGACGCAGGTGTCGTGGACGGCTCCGAAGTGACCGTGAAAGACCTTGGTCCCCAGATTGGCTGGCGAACCACGTATCTCATTGAATATGTGCGTCTTGTGTCCATCTTGTAGCGACGCGATACAGAACTGACGTGTCTTGTGCTACCGCGACGCGTCTAGGCAGGTCCGCTCGTCATTCACCCACTCATTTACCACTTCCCGAAGGTGTTCTTTGGGGGGGCCGTCCAGCACAGTGTGTTGCAAAAGTGAGTTCAGGTACCTTTCGGGTGCACGGCGTCTTACGTTCTGGGCGTAACTCAGATACGTCTACGGCGCCGTGATGCTTCATTTCCTCAAACGCGAGCTCGAGACCCTCTTCGTCCACCGCTTCTCGCACGGCACGATGCCCTTCCGGAATATCTTCAAAAAGTAAGCACCTGGCTACGTTTACGCGTGTAGACGCGCGTTTGACGCGTCTTTCGTACCAGCTCCGCGCACTACCACATCCTGTCTGGGCTGTTCCTTGCCTACTCAGTGTATAGCCCGACCTTCGCTGCCAATTCCCCATACATCCGCGGCACCATCCGCGAGAACCCCAATTTCCTTTGGGCCTGCCTCGGGCTGTTCTTGGTGTGTCTTCGTTACCCTCCTTGTCGTGGATGCTTCCCTCATAAATCATGACCGTGACCCCCGGTCGACTTGGACAGTTCGCCGAGCTGTCAAACCTGAAGACGCACCTCACACTCAGCAACCTGCGCTCTGCAGATTCGACCAAGCGTGCGATCCCGCAGGGGTACGGGTTCTCGCTCGTGTCATACCCGAACTACTTCTTCGAGACGCTGGCGTGGACGGCCATCGCTGTCATGACCGGGAGCTATGCTGGTGAGTTTCCGCCTCGCTCTCATGCGGCTCAAGTTGGTAGCAGGCGCTGACCTATGCGGGTGCCGTTACCTTTCTTTCCACCAGCGTGGCTCTTCTTGGTGGTAGGCACATTCCAAATGGTGGTCTGGGCCCTCAAGAAGCACAAGAACTACAAGAAGGAATTCGGGAAGGACTACCCCGCGAACCGGAAGGCGATGTTCCCGTTCATCCTCTAAGCCTCATGCAGCATAGACCGGTGGACTACCGGGGAGAGCGACGCGCCATTGGTCGCCCTTCTGTCGCCGTCGTCCCTTGGGAGCTTCTACCGGACCCCCGGCATTTACTCTATTCGCGCATTGACGCTTCCTTTATAAGTACCTTTACACGCTATATGATATACGATACTTTGGATATTGTTGTGATGTTCAATAATGGTTACGGGATGCTGTACGCCAACCACATCTCGCCGGCGGCTTTATCGTCGACACCCAGGCCCGTGCCCACCCAACCACTGACAAGATTCGCCACGGCGGTTTTCACAAGCCATCCCGCAATGATGATCATCGTCGTGAACCCCGGATGGCAGTCCAGCACGACTGGAATGAATGTGGCGGCGACAGTAAACAGCCCCCAAGCAATAAGTCCCGCTGTCCCGTCGAGAAGTTGCGGGCAGAGTTCTTACCTCGCAGCCCGAAGCCTGCGGCCATTCCACCGAGCACGTTCCGCACGACCCACTCGCGGTCAAGTGTGTCTTCGTCCAGCAACGCCAGCGCACGCACGACGAGCGGGTGCGTGAATGACGTTGCATTCGGGTGAAGGTCGCGCCGCTGGAGATGCGCGACGTCGGCGTCGAAGCCGGCCTTGGCCGAGTCCGGGCGCCAGACCGAGAGACAGAAGAGCAGAAAGAGCTTCGTAAGCGACGAGTAGAACAGGGTCAGCGGGATGTGTGAATATCTGCGCACAATCGAGAGGCGTTAGCACCGTCGCCTCACTCTAATCCCGCAGACGCTCGCCACCGGACGCGGGGGCGAACGATCGAGTCGCAAGGACCGTCCGGGCAGAAGGAATGGGCCTCTCCCTCGGATGCGATGTTTCGCACGGCGCAACAACGAGGCGAATGCAGATCGTTACGGACGCACCTGAACTGCGCACGGATGCCCGACACAGGTGCTCTCGCCGCTGGGAGAAGCTTCAGGACGGCATAGCACGCGAGGACGACGCCAGCGTGAAAAGCAACTGTCTCTGCGGGGCCAATGGCAGCTGGTATTAGACATGTGCCTTAATTGACCGAGGAATGAAAGAGCGGGGAAGGAGGCGGTGGAGAGAAACGCTAATTTTAACAACATACCGAAGAGGCAGCCCACGAGGATGCGGAGGAAACCTTCAATCGCGGCGCGATTCCAAGTCGCCATCGCAGAGGTGTCACCGGGCTGGCTCGCGCCTGCCCGAGCGCGGGTCAGCTGGTATGCCAAACTTGCGATTCTTGGAACGCGGCGCACTCACTGATGTGTGTCCAGCGAATGACTGCTCGCGCGAGTGAGCTTCCGTCCGCTTACGCGCAAAGTGCGAGGTGATCAGGCACTCACATGCATCAACGCAGATCAGGGCCGCCCCGAGCTTGACGATGAGTCCCCAACGGTCCTAGGGAATCGATGTACTAAGTAGGGACGCTGCGACCGACTGCCGCGAGAGGCGCACCAGCTCGTTGTGTTGCTGCTGATCTCGAGCAGTAGCCCCGTCCGAGTTTGTGGGCGCCTTCTCGCCTACCTTGCGCGCGCCCAATCCTCGGTTATAGAGAAGGTGGCGATAGACGTCCCGTTTGAGCAGGATCAGGTCCAAGAGGAGCGTGAGCGTGTCATGCTCAACGTATGGGTCCGCAAACGCGTGGCAGGCGGTCTGTCCAGGAGCCGGTGTGCGCGAAGTTCAGATTAGCGTCGTTCATCCGAACAAGCCGGGTTCGGGGCATGAAGCTCGAACAGGCTTAATGCAGAGTGACTGACGCACTGTTCCAGCCGGAAGTTGTATGCGGAGCTGTAGACCGTGTATAGGTACGGCGTGGGCTGGGCGCAACTCGTGCAAATGGGCATGGCGCGGAGATGAGCACCGGGTGCTTCAGGCGGCGTCCAAGGTGCGATGGGAGCTCCGGGGGGTCGGCCTAAAGACAATAGAAACAATAGTGCGGGCTAAGCGGTAGCAGATCCTGCGCAGAGACCCTTAATTCCGCTAGAAAATGAGGACGATGCGGGGTGGACACGTTTCGCCTTGTGTTGAGAGCGCTGAAAGCAATCAAAGTGCCTAATCCACAGGAGACGACCTAGACTCAGCGGCCAGTGCAGAGCTAGAAGAATTCCTTGAGAAAAATACAGGGTCAAAGAAAGGGGTTTTCTATGCGCACTACCACCGCCAACGGCCCTCCTCGAGATGTGGAGGTGCACAAGATCCGTGAAGTCCAAGCTCGCTCAGGTTCACGTTCACTGTTCAGGAGCTCAGGAAAGGTGTACCATTTATAGGCGCCCATCGTGCGAGTGCGTTACGCGGTAAGCGCCGTTTGGTCCGGCAGCGAGCGGCGTCACCGGGAACAACGATAGCATCGACTTGCTTTCCCTCGGCATCGTACTCGAGTGCATACACCCACGGAACATTTCTTGCATCTAAGCGATATCTGTGCGCTGACGACACCACGACCTGGCCGTTACGATGCCTCCTGCACGGGCAACTTCGTCTACGCGCGCCCTCGAGGCCATTCTGCCTTTGATTGCTTCTGGACAACCGTACGAAGCACACCAGAAAGCGCGGACATTCGCCTCGCGGTACAACAAGTCTGCGCACTATGACACTGCCATCGACGTCCTCTTCCAGTCCGCACGGGAGCTCCTGAAAGCGGGGCAACAAGGAAGTGGAACCGACCTGACCTCGTTCCTCCTGGATGTTTACGAGACCAAAGGCGAGCCTGTGAACGCAGAGAGCCGAGGTGAGTGCCTTCATATCGCTATCCTGGAAACTCCTTCCCGTTTGACCTGGAATTACAGGTCGCCTCACTCAGCTGATCGCACTGACGGGCCCGTCGGGCTCCTGGCGAAAGAGCATCATTGACAAGACCATCGCGTAAGGGCTCTAGGCAAATTCCTTGGCGGATACGCTTTGACATCGTCCAGCTGGTCCGCGAAAGTTGGACCGCACCCCGCTGGCGACCCTGATCTTCACCACTACATCGGAGAGCTTCTGTACAAAGGTGCGTTCGCTTCGCACGTCGCACGTCCCGACGCTCATCGGGTCCTTATGATTCGGACTTGCCCAGAGGGGAACTTCGTCGCCGCAGAGCCACACCTGCTCGCGGCTGGAAAGCGGGACAGCGCCCGCGTACTTGCTGAAATGTTCGTCGAGTGGGTGGGCCCCGATGGCCCCGTGGGGCCGTTTGCGCTGCGGGGGATCATACCGTAAGCGGCGGTCTCGCCTGGCACTCGCTCGCCGCATCTCATCCGTTACGATCGCAGGTACTTGCAAAACGGAAACATCCTCGCCGCTCGCACATTCATTATCCACTTCGCCTCGCAGCTGACCGCCCGCCGCCCCTCCCTGCTATCACCGCACCAGCCCTCGCCCATACCTGTTGGGAAACCGACAGACAACGAGGTAGACGAGATACTGTTCACAACAGACTCTACACTCAATTTCGCGCAACTGGCCGTGCGGGCGTGCCAACGGGCGCAGGGCGACAAGAACAAGGCGATGCGGGAGGCCTGGGTGC